TCCGGGGCCGGGAGGGGGGCAGAAGAGTTTCCCTGGTGTTGGCCAGAGTGGCCACCAGGGAAACCTGGGGAGGGCTAGCCTCCGACTAGTTCGAATTAAGGGGCTACACAGCCCTTAATTCGAGCTAGCTAGTTCGAACTAGGCTTAATCCTCGTAAAATGAGGTTTACCTAGTTCGAACTAAGCACTCCGCTAGTTCGATTCAAATTCGAACTAGCGGAGCGCTAGTGTAGCGCCTATTAAAGTTAGTTCGAACTAACGTCCGTTAGTTCGAACTAACTTTGTATTGTAGACATACCCTGTCTTCCCTTGCCCAGTACCCAAGACCCCTGTCCCTACCCCAGAGGCGGCCGGACGCTGTACCTGGGTAGAGGTGAGATTTAAAGCCTTCAGCTCATTCGGGATGCGCTCGAGGAAGTTTTCCAGCCACCGCAAACTGCTCTTTTGATCTGCGGCATCATCTTCTCTCAGGTAATAAACCAGCCTCAGCGCTTTGGCCGCCTGCACGTGGGAGCCGCCCGGCCCGGGAGCCACCTGAACGCCTCCCAAGAAGGTGCCCATGAAAAAGCGGCTCTGGAACATGGGGTACGTGAGGCTGGGGAGGAGGCTCTCGATCTGTTCCGGGCTCCCACGCACTGCAGACAGGAGCGGGTTGGGGCTGCTGCAGGACCCGTGGCTCCGGGCGCACAGGTCCGGGTAGGAGAGCCGGCGGGCTGAGCTCTCGGGAACGCCACCTGAACGCCTCCCAAGAAGGTGCCCATGAAAAAGCGGCTCTGGAACATGGGGTACGTGAGGCTGGGGAGGAGGCTCTCGATCTGTTCCGGGCTCCCACGCACTGCAGACAGGAGCGGGTTGGGGCTGCTGCAGGACCCGTGGCTCCGGGCGCACAGGTCCGGGTAGGAGAGCCGGCGGGCTGAGCTCTCGGGAACAGCGAGCCCCTGCACTGGTTTCCCCCCCTCTGCGGCAGGAAGGCGAAGCCGGCGCCCAGGCCGCCCGAGAGCAGCAGCGGGAGCAGCAGGAAGGGCCACGGGTGGGCGCCGATCAGTTCCCCGAGCCGCCTGAAACTGCGGCCGAGAAACAGGGCGAAGTTGTCAGGCGCCGGGGTGGCGGGGCCGGGGTCTGGTTCCCAAGCTGAGCTCCCGGCCGTGGCCCCCTCCTGCTCTGGCCCCATCTCCCTGCTCTGCCCGGCGAACGAGCGTTGCCCGCTGTGGAACCGGACATTAAATAACGGTAAAGAAATCCCGGCGCTCGACGCGGGCGGCGGTTGGCGGGGAGCGGGCCCGGCTATGTGTTTAGGCGGCCTGGCGGGGCTTTTTTGCTCAACAAAAATGTTCCCGCTCGTTTGGTTTTGTTTTTTGTTCAACAAAAGTCTGGCTGGTGTCTCTGGACTGCTATGGACAGTGCTGCTGCGGTAGTCCCGCCTTTCCAGTTTTCCTCATTAGATGACTGCCTAAGCTGGGTAGGATTTGTGCCATAAAGAAGTTCCCTTGAATAAGCATTAATAATGATTTATCCACACGGTCTGGTGATTTCTGGAAATATACTTCCTCCTGATCTTGCTGATAACATTGTATTGGACTGTTCCCTTCCTGCTAAATATAGTTTTGATGCATTTGATGGATGGTCTGCCAAAAAGCCTTATCTGTTTGGAAATGAACAATCACCCCTTTGAGCACTTCCATCCATCTGAACTGTGCTGTGTGTCCCCTATGGGCAAGAGAGAAACTCTCTTTCATACTTTCGGTTCTAAGCATTGAGAGAACTGTCGAAGCAAAAACACACTCCTCTCTGTTTAGGCGGCTAACAACTGATTGCTTTATTGATCAGTAAAGCAAAGTGAGCCAGCAAAGTCGGGCCCAGTAAAGCTGCTAATACAATCAATCCTAGTATCTTTATACCCTTAGCCAAACAGTCTGACGTCAGGGCATCCAATTACAGAAATCCTCAATTAAATTTGGAAAAACAAAGCCTTATCAACAAGATGGCGGACAGGTACGAGGGAGTACATCTCCTGTCCCAACCAGCCCAATTAACACATACCAATAGCCCATCCTGTAGGCCTCTTCTCACGGGGTGACAGAAAGTTCACTCTGGTCTACGTGCTTGAGAGAAAAGCTGAAATGGTTTCTGATATACAAGATGGCTTCTAGCTAAATATGAAAATGGTTTCTACAGAACCTTCTGCAAATACAGCTAAGGCCAGGCCCATAATTAGCAAAGCAAAGGCTTTTAGTCTTTCCTGGTGAGGCAGTAAAGATTTAAATGGTACTGCAAAGATCGTTTTCATGTCTCAGGCTTTTGCATGTGTCACCCCTCTCATCACTTTGAACATAAGATAATTGCCTTCACTCTCAGGAGCCTTCACAGCCTGTCTGTGAAGGCAAAAGCCAGCTGCTCTCCAGCAAGAATTGGCCGTGTCACGCTTGAGCCAGTTGGGGTGCTCCAATCTGTTGCAGGCTGATTTTAAGCCCAGAGAGGAATAGCATGATAAGATAGTATAATAGAATCACAGAACACTAGAACAGGAAGGGATTTCAAGAGATCACCCAATCCAGTCTCCTGCCCTTACAGCAGGACCAGGGATCTATAACACTGCTCTACAGCCAAAATGCTTCTGAAATAAATGTAGTCAAACTTTATTAATTCTGGGTCACTGAGCTCCACGAGGCGTACTGCTAGTTCGGATTAGGAAGCCTAATCCGAACTAGCTAGTTCGTGCCGCGTGTAGCCGCGCGGCACGCGGTCCGAACTAGCCGGCATTTAAAAATGGCGCCGGCCGGCTTTATGCAAATGAAGCACGGGAAATTCAAATCCTGGGCTTCATTTGCAACTCCGTATGACTACATTACCCCCCCTAGTTTGAGCTAGGGAGGTAGTGTAGACATACCCTGATAGATGTGTATTCAACCTGCTCTTAAAGCTCTCCAGTGATGGAGATTCTAAAACCTCCCTAGGCAACTTATTCCAGTGTTTAATCACCCTGACAGTTAGAAAGTTTTTCCTAATGTCCAACCTAAACCTCCTTTGCTGCTAGAGTTGCCAGGTATCTGGTTTTGAACTGGACAGTCCAGTATTTGAGCTTTCTGTTTGGGAAACAAATTGAGAAAATATAAATGAGACGCTATAAATGTCCGGTATTTTCTAAATAAGATGTAATGTAGATTGTGATGTAATGTCAAGTGTGTCCGATATTTTTGTTGAAACCATCTGGCAACTCTACTTGCTGCAATGTAAGCCCATTGCTTCTTGTCCTATCATCAGAGGCCAAGGAGAACAATTTTTCTCCCCCCTCCATGTAAAACCCTTTTAGATACTTGAAAACTGGTCCCCTCTCAGACTTCTCATTTCTAAACTAAACAAGCCCAATTCTTTCAGTCTTTCCTCATAGCTCATGTTTTCTAGACCTTTCATCATTTTTCTTCTTGGACCTTCTCCAGTTTTTCCACATCTTTCTTGAAATGTGGTGCCCAGAACTGGACACAATAGTCCAACTGAGGCCTAATCAGTGCAGAGTAGAGAGGAGGAATGACTTCTTGTGTCTTGCTCACAATACTCGTGTTAATGCATCCCAAAATCATGTTTAGTTTGACTTCCTGAATATTGCAAGTCATAGAACCTTGCCCACTTACTCCTCTAATAGTCCTATAATCTCTGTCTGAGTTACTGAAGTCTTCAAATCATGATTTAATTCAATTGCAGAGCATCCACCATTTATACTACTTTAAACAGCAAATGACCCAGGCACCATTATTTCAGAGAAAAGTAACCCTTCTCCAAGGAGTGAAAGTAAAGCAGTGAGCTCTGGTGCACCGCTCTGGCAAAAGCTCCAGCAAGAATTGGCTGTGCTGCTTGAGCCAATTGGGGTGTTCTAATCTGTTGCAGGCTGTGGTGTTTAAAGCAGCCAGGTGAGGCAGGCAGCAGGTTAAAAGGGCTGGTACACCAGCAGCCATGGAAACAATGTGCTCTACCCTTTGCGTAAAACTTGCCTGTCCTCCAACTGGACGGAGTGGTGGCATGCCCCATCTGACTGCGGCAACTTGACCCAAGCCCCACTCCTGCTGCAGTCGGAATGAGCAGAGTTGGCGAACCTGGCTGGGCCCCTGGCTAGCTGACATGGCCTTGACCATGGCCTGGCCCCCATCTGATCCCGGGATAGGCTCTGCAGCCCGGCCCCATCCGCAGCAGGAGGGGCTGGCAGTGGCCCCCAGCTGGCCTCATCAACCTGGCCCTGGCCCCAATCCTGCACAAAGCCCTTGTGGCCCAGCTCCCATCTAGCCTCAGTCGTGCTCTCCTACAGCTCCAAGCTGTGCTTATGGCAGAGTCAGAAAACAGGAGCATCAGGGCAGGTACACCAGCTAGGTAAGGTAACCCAACCCCAGGCCCCCCCGCCTTGACTCCTGTACCCCGACACTCCAACCCTCTGTCCTGAGCCTCTCATATACTTCAACCCTGATTCCTGCATGCGCGCGCACACACACACACACACGCACACACATCCCCAGTCTCCTGCCCTGACTCCTGCATCCATCTCCACCCTGTATCCTGTGCCCTCTACTCCACCCCACACTTTCTTATGGGTACTCTCATATTGCAAATTCTGTCCCCCCCAACCCCTGTCCTGAGCCTCCAGGCAGGAGGGCTGTGATAGGACAATAGAATCATAGACATGTACAGCTGCAAAGGATCTTGAGAAATCATCAGATCCAGCCCCTGCACTGAAGCACAACTAAGTAAACCTTTATCATCTATGGCAGGTGTTTTCCAACCTGTTCTTAAAAGCCTCCCTTAGAAGCCTATTCCAGAGTTTAATGCTGCTTAGAGTTAGAAAGCTTTTCCTAATATCTGAGGGTACGTCTACACTAGCCCCCTATATCAATCTAGGGAGGCTAATGAGGGTGACCGGAATTGCAAATCAAGCCTGTAAACCTCCTTGCAGGAGGCATAAGGGATCTGTTGAAAAAGGCTTTCTTTCTTGACATATCCCTCTCTAGACTACCGCTTTTTGCCGACAAAGTGCTGAGTCGGCAAAACACGGTGGCCATTTTAATGCAAATTAGGCACGGGATATATTTAAATCCCTGCCTCATTTGCAATGTCGACCTGCCTAATCATACCCTTTGATAGTACCCTTTGATGGTAAACTACCCTAGACATACCCTTTGATAGTAAACTATTAATAACTGTTCCTGGATTTCACTTTTTCAACCAGTCTCAGCCATATTAGTCTGTATCAGTAGAAACAATGAGGGGTCCTGTAGCACCTTAGGGTATGTCTACTCAGTAGGGCAAAAGTCAAATTAAGATATGCAACTTCAGCTGTGTCAATTGCTTAGTTGAAGTCGAAATAGCTTGATTTGGCTTTTGGCGCTGTCTACATAGTAGGAAGCCAAAGAGGGAGGAGTGGTTGCATTGGGATGGAGGATGCTGGGGGTCCCTGGCTCTGGGGGAGAGGTGGTTGCATTTTTAAAAAGGTACTTTGTAACAAAAGAAAAAACTTAAAAAGAATAGTCTAGTAGCACTTTAAAGACTAAAAAAACACATAGATGGTATCATGAGCTTTTGTGGGCAAAACCCACTTCCGTCCATGAAGGTTCATGATACCATCTACGTGTTTTGATAGTCTTTAAAGTGCTACTAGACTATTTGCTGTTTTTTAAGTTTTTCCTGTTACAGACTAACTCTGAAAAAAGGTTGAGAAACACTGCTCTGTGCCATTCCTTTTGGCCTCCCTGTTTCCTTTCTCCTTTGGCGAGTTGGGCAGGCAGGAGTTTTGGAAAAATATATCAGACATGTGCACACAGTGCCCGCTCTACCTCAGCTGGTGCTGGATAATCAGAGCTTCAATGCTAAAGGAGTTGGCATTACCGAGGTGATAGATTCCCCCCACGTTTTGTTGTAGATTTTCCAAAGAAAATGCTGGTGTTTTTTATATGTCACCCACCTCTCCCAGTCATAGCAGAGACTTGGGATGAACATGGCTTTCTCAACTAAAAGTCTTATACATGTGTAGATGTTGTGATTGTGAACAGCTGGCGAGGCAGTCTGTAAAAAGCAAGGCTGGCCTTGAATCTTGACATATATGGCTTCAGTTGAATGGCTTGTGTGAAATTTTAAAGAGCAGCTCAGAGACACCTCTCTCCTTTACTTAAGGATAGACTCTCACGGCAACCTGAAGGAAAAAGTCTTCACTGCAGACAGAAAGCCATGCTTGCATTGTATCCTCAGCCTTAGGCTATTTATTGCTTCAAATGCCTTCAAGAAAGTGAAGGTGATTCTCATGTTGTGTGTTAGTTTTATTTACAAGTTTTTCTGAGTGTTAAGTTAATCTCTTACATTCATGACTCCCATGTAGTTTATCAGTGTGCAATAGTATGAAAAACAATTAGGTTAATTAGGTAAGTAACTAGGCAGTTAGAAAGCATTAGAGATTGTGTACAATAAATTTAATACACTCAAAATCTTTTTTTACCTTTTATTCATTAAAGCAATGAGCTACTCGTTTGCTATAACAGTGGTAAATGCTTGATTGAAATGTAGTGATGAAATTCATAATTAGGTTGTATAACATTTATTGCTCTTGTGTTTTATAAAAGTTACATATTTTAAGAATTTGACATATTTTATGTAAAAGACATGAACCTAATGAGAACAGGATATGAACAAATTAGAGAAAAAATTATTTAACAGAATGTAAACCACAAAAACTTTATAATTTATATTTGTCTGTAGTTAGTAAAATAAGTAATGCATTTAAGAATAAATATCCTAAGAAGTGGATTATTTACAGTGGTATAGTGAGGAGGATGCGGGGGGTGGGGGGTGGGAATTGCCCCCAAATGTGACACTTGTGGGGCGACAATTTAGTCCCCCTGCACTCCCCCTGTCATTCCTCTGCTTGCCTGCTCCTCCTCTGCCCTCTGCTGCCGGATGGAGCTGCCTCCTCCCGCCTCTCTGCCCCCAGCCCAACCCTCCTCCACCTGTGCTGGAGGGTTAGTGTGTACGGGTCCCAGCCCCAAACTGGAGGGGGAAGGATAAGATGCGGTAAAAGTTCCCCTCCCCTTACTGGGTTAGGCTCAGCTGAGCTGCAGGTTTGGGGCCTTGCCACATGGCAGCAGCAGTGTAGGGGCACAAATTTACCTTCGCCTCTGGGCATATAACACCCTCACTATGCCTCTGGTGAGGTTGAACAAACTAGGGCCATTCAGTCATCTTTGTGAGTCTGTAATTGTAGGTGTTGCATGTTTGTGATGTGATTTAATGTTTTATCAATTAAATAAATTAAAATCAGTTTTATTTAAAAAAAATATTTTTGTATTCAATTGATACAATCTAAATTCACCCCACCCCCTCTGAGCAAAAATTTTACCCTGAAAAGTGCTTACTTATCTGCATATTGTCCTCAAGTATAAGCTATAAAAGTTGTTTTCCTATGGTCAGGGGAACTTGGCTTCTTCTTGTCACGTTGGCAAGCAATGCAGGTTTGGAATGTTCCTTCATCTGTCTTCATGTAATAGTGCTTAACTTATGGTCAGTATGAAAATGCATCTGATAAAGAGGACAATCCTTCATTTTTTTTTTAAAGTGACATTTCCTTTTACATTTTTTTAAAGCTTTAAGCCTAACGAAGGAGTAATCATTATTGGTGCAACAGACTTCCCTGAAGCATTAAATAAATAAGTATAAAGTTTACATACCAGTTTCACAGATATGTATTAAAACTCCAATTCTGTAGTGTTGGGGCTTGTCTAACTAGATGCATTTATTATGATCTTCAGATTTTGAAAATGGTGTTAAAGTTATTTTTCCATCAAAAACTATAGAAGCTGTCCCATTTTTAACATTTAAAGGCCACTGATTTAGAGGAAATCGGTAATATTAAGGGTTCTAGCGTGTTCTAGTAAGGGTTGTAAAAATGTGAGCACCAAACAACCACCACTTTGCAATCTGCCATGATGCATTGACAACTTAGTAAAGAGTCACCCCATAGTTGCATATACATTTTTAGCAGTAATTCTATATATCAAAAATATGACTGCATCTCTTTGATAGATGGAGAAATTGATTTCTGCAAAAGTTAACCAGCAACACACATTTATATCAGCTTTGCCCGTGGCGTACAGATAGGTAGAGAGAGAAATGTGTTTTTAAGAGTCTTCACAAAATATCCATGTTAAGAAAATTAGATACATTTGCTGTAACACTCTGTTAGTAACACTGTTTTTCAGATGTTAAAGCATACTTATTTACCATGTTTCTTTTTTCCTTAGTGCTCTAATACATCCTAGCCGCTTTGACATGCAAGTTACGGTTCCAAGGCAAGACGTGAGAGGTGTGTTTGTGTAAATGTTTTGATAGTGAAAACTTGTTCAAATGATAGTTAATTTTATGTACTGTTATGCAGCTTTATTAATCTTTTCCTTTTCATGTGTTTTCCTCCTTACAGGAGGAATAATGGTAGTTCAAATTAGGAGCTTTAATTCGAACTACCTAGTCTGTACCACATGTAGCCACAGGCAGGCAGTTCGAACTACTGGGCATTTAAAAATGGCGGCACCCAGGAACGTGCAAATAAAGCCCGGAATATTTAAATCCTGGGCTTCATTTTCAAGTTCAAATGCCTACATTAGCCACTCTAGTTCGAACTAGGGTGGCAGTGTAGACATACCATAATAGATTACAGAAACCATGTTGACTTTTGCCCAACAAATTGGTTGTGTCTAAATTGGCACCCTTTTCCGGAAAAGGGATGCTAATGAGACCAGTCGGAAATGCAAATTCCGCGGGGGATTTAAATATCCCCCGCGGCATTTGCATGAACATGGCTGCCACTTTTTTCTGGCTCGGGGTTTTGCCGGAGAAGAGCGCCAGTCTAGACGGAATCTTGCGGAAAATAAGTCCTTTTCCGGAAGATCCCTTATTGTATCTCAGTGGTCCAGGGGCTCCACTGGTTGTTTAGCGGGCTTCCTGCTTCCGATGTATTTTTTACCGAGCTGTTCTTCAGACTCTTTTTTGGCTTTTCTTATTACATTTTTACACTTAATTTCACAGTGTTTATGCTCCTTTCTATTTACCTCACTAGGATTTGATTTCCACTCTTTAAAAGATACTTTTTTTAATCTCTCACTGCTTCTTTTACATAGTTGTTAAGCCAGGGTGGCTCTTTGTTAGTTCTTTTACTGTGTTTTTTAATTTGAGGTATACATTTAAGTTAGGCTTCTTAAATTTAAAAGGGCAATTTGTATTTACCTTGTGGAAATATAGCCCTGCAGTGGTGTTATAGCTTGTTTTGGCTTGTGACTTGGATTTATATATTATCTAGCAATTTTGTTTGCTTATCTGTATGGTAGGCAAGTGGGAGATGCATCTCTTTTATACAAAAATAGCAAGAGTATCAGTGTTTTATACAAATTATTTTTCTTGTCTTGCTATTCTCTTTCTTTAGCTTGGTGTCATGACGTACACAGATACATGGAAACACAGTCCAGAACCCCAGTCTACAATTGAACAGAAAATAAGAACACTTCTAAGTGTAAGATTTGTTGCCTGCGATTATTTATCCCATTTAAGAGATGGGCTGAACAAAGATAATGAATTACTGATTATACTGGTTTGTTTGCAATACACAGTATAGTGTTTGACCTTGTGGATGGAAATATTCTTAAAGCTGTAGCCAAGTCCAATTTGAATAAAATTCAGTCTTTTCAGATTTAATCCATTTGAGGAGTTAACTTTGCGTTTAGTCGGTTTAAGCAGTATTGTATAAACAGGGCGGGTTTTGATATCCAAGTATACTTGATGCATTCCATGTTAATACATACCTCTGTTTTTAGAGTGGTACTATGCTTTAACTGTATTTCTTCCAATTAATTAATGGGGAATGTCTCCTAAATACCTTCTAGTTATCTTTATTAGAATAGATTGTGATTTTGTGTTATTTTCTCACTATTTTATAACTTTCACTCAGTAATTTAATAGAATTCTTTTTCAGTCTGAGACTTCCAGACCAGAGTTCTAGTTTAGAGTATCTACTACCATTTTTTAAAACTTTTACTTGTTGATGATCATTTAGAGGAAGGGTTTGGTGGTTAAATTATGAATAAAAATGACTATTCTAACTTTTAATAGCACTGATATATTTGAGATTCAGATATATGATGTTAAATTTAAAATAGTATTTGGGGATTTACAGAATACATATTATGTAGGGATGTCAATGTGAAGTCAACTATATGACTAACCAATAAGCCTAGGCTTATTGGTTGAGCTTGTTGACTACACGCATTTCCCTCCCACCCGCCAACCTTTGGCTGCCTCTGTATGAGAAACAGCAAGGGAGAGGGTAGAAAGCAGGAGCCAGTGCTGGGGGGAGCTGGCATAAGAGTTGTCGTAAAAGCCACCTGCAGGGCCCTCACCCCATGCTGCTGCCTCTGAGGCAGCAGCATTGGGGGGACAGGAGAGGCTGCTGTGAGCATCCACAGGGAAGCTCTTCCCATCTCCCCACGAACAGACAGGGAAGGCTGCCATCTCACTTTATCAGAGGCAGGAGTGTGGGGCAGCAGGTAGCTGGTCTGTGTGGGGGGCTGATTTTTACAGTGGCTCCCCTCAAGGATCGGCTCCCACCTGGCAACCCTCACTGCTGCCTCTCATACAGAGGCAGCAGCCCTGGGTGGCAGGGGGCTCCCCAGGAGTGGGGCCAGAGTGCACTGCCTGCCAGCCCCACACCTGAGGACTATCAGTAATCGTGTAACTGATAAGAATTCATGCAGTTACTTGACTATTCAGTTACCTGATATCTAACGTCCCTAGTATTAATATGACAGTCTTTGGTCAATGCTATAAAAAGTAGTGTTCATGTTGACAAAAGTACGCCAGGGATGGGAAACAGAAATGCCGGGCTGTTCTCACGTGATGTGCTGTTGACAAGGTTATCTTACAAACTTCATAAAGGCAATACATGAGTGTGATTTAATAGCTATGCTTTTAAACTGTTGGAGATATTATTGAATTAGTTTTTACTAATTGTGTATGGGCTTTTTGATAAACATGTAAAAGATTTCTTCCAAGAGAAGACTTAGGGTATGTCTACACTACAGCGCTATTTTGAATTAACTTATTAGCTAATTCGAAATAACACATCTAGACCCAAAAACTAATTCGAAATAGCGTTTTGCTATTTCGAAATAGCGCATCCACAATGATTGGACGCTGGATCGCATTTAAGGGCAGCTGAAACTGGTTCCAGCAGGGCATCAGGTCAGTAGTTGCTTTGTGTGGCTGCTGTCTGAGGCTATCTGAGACTCGTGCTTAAAGGGACCCCCCTGGACAGCCGGTTCTCAGCTTTCCTGCTTGCTTGCCTACCTCACCGAGGGACAGCAAAGCATTTTCCTCTCTGCCTGCTTCGGTCAGTCTCCTTTGGGACACTGCAACACTCGGCACCATGGAGCCAGAGCTGCCCCTGGGCACTCTGGTGCTCATGTTGGACACCTTGCTGCAAGCCTGGCAGCAATTGCTGGAGGCTGCCTGGCACCTTCTGCTGGAGGCCAGCCCCCTGGCCCTCCCTCTGCCCCTCCTGGGAGCCCTGGAGGAGCAGCACCTGGGCGCCAGCGTGCCCTGTTGTGTATGTACACCAGCAGCGATTGGTGGGACCGCATCATCCTGGAGCACTGGGGAGACCAACAGTGGACCCAGAACTTCAGGATGAAGAAGGACACCTTCCTGGAGCTCTGCGAGTAGCTCGCCCGTGCTCTGCAGCAACAGGACACATGCATGAGGTCCACCATTCCCCTCCACAAGCAGGTGGCCATCGCCCTCTGGAAGCCCTCCACACCGGATAGCTACCGATCCATCGGGAACCAGTTCAGCGTGGGGAGATCCACTGTCGGAGCGGTGCTCATGCAGGTACAGCACTCGCTGGCCACTGGGCCAGGACAGGGGGGCTGCAAGGAGGACGTGGGCTACCCCAGGGAAAATGGGGGGAGGTGGTGTAAGTGCCCTCCCCAGGAGGGGTCGGTCCATGCTGGCCGCGCTACAGACCGCCCACGGTGGCCAGGATTGCAGTGGGGGTTGTTCCTGGGAGTGGGGCACGGGGCAGTGTCAGGGAAAGAACAGTCCCAGCCAAATGGGCACCTCAGCGACCCTCGGTTTTGTGTGCCTCTCTGCAGGTGGTCAAGGCTATCAACAGGGTGCTGCTCCGCAGAGTCGCCCACCTCACCGACCTGGATGTGGTCATCCAGGGGTTCGGCGCCCTTGGCTTCCCCAACTGCCGGGGGGGGGGGGGGGGGGCGGGGGGGGAGACCTCCCTCTACATAAACAGGAAGGGATACTTCTTCGTGATCCTGCAGGCTGTGTCTGACCACCGGGGCCAGTTCACAGACATCAATTTGGGCTGGTCCGGCAAGGTATACGACGCATGGGTGTACCGCAACTCCTCCGTGTGCCAGAGGCTGCACGCCGGGACTTTCTTCCCCAACCACCACATCAGGGTCAGGGATGTGGACATGCCAGTATGCCTGCTTGGGGATGCGACCTACCCCCTACAGCCCTGGCTCATGAAGCCCTACACGGGACACCTCAGCCCCTCCTGGCAGGCCTTCAGTGCCAAGTGCGGCAGGGCCTGCATCATGGTCGAGGGGGCCTTCGGCCAACTGAAAGCACGATTTAGGTACCTCCTCACCCGCCTCAATCTCTCCCAGCACAATATTCCGCACGTGGTGGCAGCGTGCTATGTGCTCCACAATTTGTGTGAGAGGAAGGGGGAAGCTTTCCTGCCAGGCTGGGTGGCAGAGGCTGACCACCTGGCTGGCCAGTATGCACAGCCCCGCACGGCTGCCAGCCGGGAGGCCCTTCGGGGGGCTGTCCACATCCTGTAGGAGAGCATGCCCCACTGGGGCCTTGTGCCTTACATTCCATCCCCACCTCCTTCCTCTTTCCCCTCCCTAACCCCCCTCCCTGATATACAATAAAAACATATGGATAGTATGCGGACCTGATCTACAATAAAAACACCTGTGTTGCCACAAAAAAATGTCTTTTATTTCACATAACTGGGGTGGGGGGAGGGGAGGGATGAGGGTGGGAGAGGGAACGGGGGAAACCTGGGAGGAGGGAGCTGGAAGAGGGAGGCAAGGGGAGGAAGGAGGAGGGGAAGCTCAGGGTTGGGGGTTTTGCTGGCTCTCCCGTCTCGCAGCACTGCGGGTGCGGGTGCATCGGGGGGAGAGTGGGTGTGGAGGGTGAGGGAGGAGGGACGTGGGGGTGCGGATTAAGCGGGAGAGGGAGCAGGGGTGGGAGGAGGAGCAATAGGTGGGGCGGCCACAGGGGCTGGGGGAG